AATTTTGCTTGTCTAAAGTCTTTTTTTTTTTTTGAGATGCAGTCTTGCTCTGTTGCCCAGGCTGGAGTGCAGTGGCACAGTCTTGGCTCACTGCAACCTCTGCCTCCTGGGTTCAAGCAATTCTCCTGCCTCAGCCTCCTGAGCAGCTGGGATAACAGGCGCCTGCCAACACACTAATGTTTGTATTTTTTAGTAGAGATGGGGTTTCGCTGTGTTGGTCAGGCTGGTCTTGAACTCCTGACTTCAGGCGATCTGCCCATCTCGGCCTCCCAAAGCGCTGGGATTACAGGCATGAGCCACTGTGCCTGGCCTGAAGTCTTTAACTTTAAAGTTTATAGAATATATTCACTGGAATAGAATTCTAGATTGGCAGAGTTGTTTTTTTTTTTCAGCACTTAAAGATACCATTCTATTGTCTTCTGGTTTCCCAGTTTTTTACTGAAAAGTTAGCCGTAAATCTGATTAATGTTCCTCTGAAAGTACTGTGTCCTTGTCATTCTGGTTATCTGAAGGACGTTCCCAGTGTTTTTAGTGGTTGAGCACAGTGTAACTACAGGGTAGTCTTCTTTGTATCACCTTGGTGTTCACTGAACTTCCTAAATCTGTAGCTTGATGTCTTTTAACAATTTAGGGAAATGGCAGCCATTCTCTCTTCTAATGTCATTTTTACCCCACTCTCTCTTCCACTCCTTTCGTGATTCCTATTATAATTATTTAAACTCTCGAATGTGTCCCAAGTGTCTTTTATCAGCTGCTTTATGTTTCCAGTCTAATTTCTCTTTGCTTTAGTTTGGATATTTTTCTATTTATTGACCTACTCACTAATTCTGACATCTGCTGTGTCTGGTACATTTTCAATCCATCCAAATAAGTTAATTTCAGATATTGTGTCTTTCAATTTTAAGTTGTCTATTTGAATCTTTTTCACAGATTCCAACATTCCATTGAAATTTTCCATCTTTTTATCCATTTTATTCATTTAACACACGAGTTATAAAGTCCTTGTTTCTTAAATCCATTATCTGGATTATCTAGGACACTGCTTCTATTTATGTTTTCTCTTGATTGCTGGTCATATTTTCTTGACTCTGAGCTCTAGTAATTTTCTTTGTTACACGCCAAGCATTGTATATATAAGAACCATAGAGACTGCAAATGATACTGTAACCATAGAAAGGTTCTCTTTCCTCTGTGAGGTAGACAGGATTCAGGACTAATTACTTCAATCCAGCCAGGGGTTGAGCTGAGATGCAGGGTCTCCTTCTGTTGCCCAGGCTGGAGTGCAGTGGCACAGTTACAACTCATTGTAACCTTGAAGCCCTGGTCTAAAGTGATCTTCCTGCCTCAGCCTCTCGTGTAGTGGGGACTATAGGTGCATGCCACCATGCCCTGGCTAATTTTTTAATTTTTTGGTAGAGAAGGGGTCTCACTATGTTGCCCAGGTTGGCCTTGAACTCCTGGCCTCAAGCAATCCTCTTGCCTCAACCTCCAAAAGTACCGGGATTATAGGCATGAGCCACCTCACCCAGTCTGGGCTGGAGTTTTTGTAAGGGTCAGTCCACTATTGATTCATGTTTGTCCTAGACTTTTGACTAGGAGCTTAGAAGATTTGTCTCCTCAGTTGAGAAAGAAAGAGAGTCAAGTTGGCCCCTCCATATTTTGAATTTAGATCCTTAGCCTCCTGCCCCATGCAGATTCACAAATAGCAAATATATTTTAAAAATTTTTTCAAAATGGAGTCTTGCTCTGTTGCCCAGGCTGGAGTGCAGTGACACAGTCTTGGCTCACTGCAATCCCTGCCTTCCAGGTTCAAGAGATTCTCGTGCCTCAGCCTCTTAGTAGCTGGGATTACAGCTGGCTGAATGTTGCATTATTTGGGACTATGCCTGGCTAATTTTTGTATTTTTAGTAGGGACAGCGTTTTGCTATATTGGCCAGGCTGGTCTCGAACTCCTGACCTCAAGTGATCCATCTGCCTTGGCCTTCCAAAGTGCTGGGGTTACAGGTGTGAGCCACTACACCTGCCTCCAAAATAGCAAATATCTTGAGGGTAGACTAAATAACAAATATCTTGTGGAAAGCCCTTCCCTCTAGCAGGACACTGTCCCCTAAGGACTATGGGAGATTTAACTAAGCCTTTAAAAGCCTCCATCCAGTTCCCCAGCCTTCAGCATTACCCCACCTGGAACAGTACTCCAGCAAATGCCCCATGGTGGAAAGACAGACAGACGTTTGGGGCTTCTGTAAGTTTCTAGTTTGTCATGCCAACCCCACATGACCACCAAAAGCTCTGCTAGTTTTTCTTCCTTCGAGATGACGCCTTTTCCCTGGGGAAAGCCCAGTTCTTAGCCCATGCCTAGAACTGGCAAATGTGTCCAGAAAAACAGGCAGGATCAGCAGTTTATTTAGCAACGGCTCTTTCCTCTCTGCAATTTTAGTGTTGTTGTTTCCACAGCTCTCCAGAGACTTTGAACATGATTTTTGCAATGATTTGTTTTTTCCCCCCTAGCTGCTACAGAGGCCTTCCGTGACCTACTGCATCCTCCTCAGAAATGGAATCTTGAATCCAGACACTTCCTAAGCACTTGTTGCTCTTCTGAGTCTTTCTGCTGAGCCATCCTTTCTCTCCTGTACTCACCAGCACGTTGCTTATACTTTTCTCTATCCTCCCTCTCAGAGCTAAGTGATCTCATTCAGTTTCATGGTTTTAAGTACGAAGTGTACATAGACAGTTCCCACATTTCTACCTGTAGCCCTCACCTCTTCTGTGACCTCTAGATTTTAAGGTCTAACTGCATTCTTTGTATCTGAAGTTGAAAGCTTAAGAGACAAATTTAACATGGTGAAAACATATCTACTTATTCCCCCCAAAATCTATTCCTTCCTTTTTTTTCTGAGACGGATTATCAAACTGTCACCCAGGCTGTAGTGCAGTGGCACGATCTCAGCTCACTGCAATTTCCGCCTCCTGGGTTCAAGCAATTCTCCTGTCTCAGCCTCCCGAGTAGCTGGGACTACAGGCGTGCATCACCATGCCCAGCTAATTGTTTTTTTTTGTTTTTTTTTTTTTTTCATTTTTAGTAGAGACGGGGTTTCACCATGTTGGCCAGGATGGTCTCAATCTCCTGATCTCATGATCCGCCCACCTCGGCCTCCCAAAGTGCTGTGATTACAGGTGTGAGCCACCGCTCCCAGCCTATTCCTTTCTTACTAAAAAGACAACACTAGCCACTCCGTTCCTTAGCCACAAATTTTGGCATCATTTTTTCCTCTTTCCCTCGCAATCCATGTCCAATCCATTAGTAAGTCTTCTCAGCTCTGTCTCCAAATATCTGCTGAATCTGACCAGTTCTCACAATTTCCATTGCTAAAATCCTGGTCTCAATTGCTTTCACCTCTCACTCAGGCTACTGCTAGCAGTTTCCACTCTTCTCTTCCATCCCAAGCCCACTTCATCTTCATGGTGACCAGTGCAATGACTGGTTTCTAAAGGTTAAATGAAAGCACTTCACTCACCTCCCTTGCATGAAACCTTCTAGTGGCTGTTCTATGACAACTAGAGTAAGATCAAACTGTAAACCCTGCCTACCTTTTGGATCTCATCTCTTTTCTCTTTCCTGCCTAAAGAGCACACCGCCCACATTGCTGGACCCCCAACTGTCGCTCATTGTCATGGTAGCCCAATAACGCTGTGACACATCCACATCCCTCAGTTTTCAGTGTGTGGTACTTGCTGCTCCTTCTGCCCAGAGCACTGCCTTCTCCTCACCATTCTAGTGTTAATACCAAGGCCACCTCTTAGACCTCCTCCTTCATAATCACTACCTATTGCATTACTCCATTTTGTTCTCTTAACTGTAACTAACAATTACCTAGAGTCCTTTAAAAATATATTTTCTGGGCTGGGTGCAGTGGCTCACCCCTGTAATCCCAGCATTTTGGGAGTTCGAGGTGGGCGGAGTTTGAGATCAGCCTGGCCAACACAGTGAAACCCTGTCTACGGAAGATATAAAAAATTAGCTGGGCGTGGTGGCACAGGCCTGTAATCCCAGCTACTCGGGAGGTTGGCGAGAGAATTTCTTGAACCCAGGAGGTGGAGGTTGCAGTGAGCCAACATTGTGCCACTGCACTCCAGCCTAGGCGACAGAGTGACTCTGTCTCTAACAAACAAAATATACTTTCCGTCTTCCCCACCAGATTTAAGCTCCTTGAGGCCAAGGTACAGTTCTTGTTCACTACAGTATCTCTCACATCTTGAATGATTCTCTGCACATACTGGATGCCTAGTGTATTTGCTGGATGTCTCATCCATTAGAGCACAACCTACTTTGGGAGCAAGGAGTGTGGTCTAGTTTTGGTTTTCCTTCCCTGCATCTAACAGTAGCATGCACACTGCAGGGACAATGGTAAATAAGATTGAAGGGTCCCTTCTCTTTGGTATAGTGTTAGAGATAAGCTACTTCTTCTGACTTCCTCATCATTGTAATTCCTCTGCAGACTCCAGACCAGCCAAACACATTGCTAAAGAAAAATGCAGGCAGTCCTGCCCTCACCCCCCAAGTCACAAATGGGAAAAGCTGTCTGAGTAGTTATTGCTCTGTGCTCTTGGTGCACACCACTGTGCTGAGGTAGAAAAGAACTTGGGAAAAGAGCACTAGGGTTATGCTTTGGTGTTTTATCTCATTACCCTTTATACTGCTTCCAAAACATAATTGTTTTAATAGTGTTTCTAATCCCCCTGAGGCAAATCTTCCAAAGAATTTCCAGACTCCAAGCAATTTAAGTTTGAATCTAAATTAGTTATGCCTACGTCCACACAGCATTTTTCAAGCTGCAAGCCTTTGTTTGAATGAAATTACAGAAAATATTAGCATGTACTGCAATAATAAGGGCAAATTTTTATGATTACATGCATATATATGTACTAAGCGTCATGAAATTTATTTCTTCCTGTGTGTGTCAATGTTTTCAAAAGGTAAAGAAGTCACTGGCCTAAAGTATTAGTTTTACATGTTTTTATTCCTTAAAAGAAAAAAACAACTTAAATGCATACTTACAGAATAGAATACACTTATTTAAAGTTTTCACTGAAAAAAAAAAAAAGGTTATTTAATCCAAAGTTCAACATGATGATGATCTCATAAGGCAATTTCTTTCCTTTAATAAATATCATATTAAAGTGAATATTATTCTGGAAGCAAATCATCCCCTAATTCTTCATCAGCAAAATCATCCTCATCGATTTTTTTTTTGGCTGCGGTTTTTGGTCTTTCTATTTGAGGGCCAAGTGGGTCCACGTACGAGGCATCTAGGTTTCAAAAGAGATTGTCATGTTAGCATTATGTAAATAAACAAAACAAAACAAATTTGAAACCAATCAGGCTCATAATCAAAATGAGTAACTCAGAGTGAACAGAAATGGTCTCCCAAGTCATTTTAAATTTCATCTGTAAATATCAAATTCTTAAGAATTCCCAGCGACCTTTTTGCCGTTTCACCAGTCTTCTTCAGACCTGCTATGGCTGGAGGAAGTGGGTGGGAAGCACTTGCCTATTTCTTTGTTACTGCTACTTTCATAAGGTTCATTTGTCCCAGGTAAAGTTCTGAGTTTGGCACTTAGTCGTTCACCTTTACTACTGGCACTACAGTTCTGGCCACTATCTGAAAACACAAAAATAAAAATGCATTTGTTTAATATGCTGAGAAAACATAAAACTACATTATACATCTTAAAGCGTACTTATTTCCCAAGAAACAAGCAGGTTGTTTCATTTGGAAGCCAGCTTCTTAGGGATGTAATTCTCGTTTTCTGAAATTTGAAAGAAATCTCTTGTGGGAAATCTATAAAACAGATAAAACTTCACTTAAGAGTAGTCCGTATACTTATTCTTTCAAATGTGTGTTTGGTTATAGGTTTCAATTTTATGGAAGAACTTCTGAGAAAGTAAGAGATCACCCTGACTAGTGTGATCTAGCCAAGAACAAAGCACCTGAAGAAACAACAGATGGGAAGTCACAAGCTCAGCATGAGCTGCATCGATAGCCTCCTATCAAGGCTGGAGAGAGGCCCTAAAACTACACATTGCATGAAAAACAACAGAGGAGGCTGGGTAAGCTTAACCTAGTAGGCAGAGATCCTAGATCACACAAGGACTTTCTTAAAACATTTGAAGTATGTTCATACAGAAGAGGGCTAGACTTCCCCCGTACAGCAGGATAGATTTTGGCTTGATATAATGATAAACTTAAAAAAGAATTATAGTTGCCCAAATAGGCAATGGCTGCCTTAAAAAAATGTAATCTGTATCAGTGAGGATTTTCAGATAGAGCTGAACATTAATATTAGTAGGAAATGTTAGTAGTACGTTTTAACCAGAAATTGCTATGATATTTTTTTAAAGAACCACTCCTCTAGCCCCAGTTTTCCTTTCTTCCCCTTAGAATTCCTACAGTGGTATTTTTTCTATTATGTTAGCCTCACTTTTAGTAAGAGTAGTCCACTGATAAACACTAGCCATTTCTTTTTGAATATACCTTTGTATTTTAGTTTATTGATAATGTCTCTGGGAATAAATCAGAACAAGATGGACTTTAAAATTCCCAAATTTTAAGATTGGCCAATTGACCCAAAAAAATAAGTCTTCTCTAAGGTTCTTATTCAAAACCTTACCATTTCCCCTAGCACTGATGTTACTGGAAAATAAAGCTCTTTAGTGTATTGAATATGTGTCTACATACTTTAGAATGTTTTAAATTATTTTGTCTCTATTTTTTTTTGTTGTTAAAACAAAGTTAATTTTTTCCATGCAGAAATGTATATGGGTGTCTTTTAAACTGCCTGAGTGAGCTCAGGTCAATAAAGTTGAAAAACATTGCTCTAGGGTTATTTCTTTTACTTCACTTTTTTTTTTTCCTGAATAATGTATATCCTACCTGTCTCCAAGGAAAGTTTAAAATAAGCCACCAAATATATACACAATAATTATACAGCAATCTTTTAAAAGATGAATAAGTACATGAGAAGAAAAGTTTGGGTGAGAAAGGAAAATGAAGTTGGGAGGGAGTGGTCCAAACAGGTCTTCTTGGCTTAGGGTTTGCAGTCAATGAAGGGCAAGGGCAGGAACAGTTCTATGACTCATGGGTGCATAAGATGTGAAAACCAATTTCTCCACAAAAATGTAGGTGTTCCCATTAGAGAGAGAAGACAGAAATGCCTCACAGAGCTGCTCACTGAGGAATACTGTGGAATGTCAGAAACACACCCTCATTAGTAACTACAACATTATTTAATTTTTCATATAGATGTAAATTACCAAAATAATCTGATAGCTCCCTCAGGCACCCTAAACCCTTCTGAAATCCAAATGTACAATTCCTAGCCTAAAAGATTCAAATTTTGTGGAAAAAGCAAACCTTTAAAAAATAAAACTTGGCAAACTTGGCTGGGCAGAGCAGCATGCACCTATTGTCCCAGTTGCTTGTGGGGATGAGGTGGGAGGACTACTAGAGCCCAGGAGTTCAATGCTGCAATGAGCTGCCACAGCACCACTGCACTCAGCCTGGGTGACACAGTCAGACCCTGTCTCTAAAATAAATAAATAAAAATAAACAAATAATAAATACAATAAAACCTGACTTCATTTGAAAAATTTCAGTTGTCCAATTGAAAAACTATAAATGCAATTTTTAAAAGTTTCATTATAAGGACTAGTGTGGGTAATATTGTGAATACTGTGGTTTCATTCTTTTCAACTAACTTTCATGGAGTAATAATGCCATACATGGGCAGGTACAAATAAATCAATAAGCATTTGTAAGCCTTGGTAGGTTTTATGCTTAAATAAAATAAAACTATTTTGGAAATTATGATATGCATGTTACTACAGTAATATTACTATCTCCTGGAGGGAAGTTATATAATGAGTATGTTCAGAAAATAAGAATTTGGAGATCAATTTATCTAAATTATTAACCAATTAAAATGTCCAAATTTTATTTATGAGAAAAATCTTAGAATCATAAAATTCACTGTTAAAGGGAATCTAGAAGCTTATATATACCAGAAAAAAATGCTTGTATAAAACAGACAGGCAAGATGGCCAAATAGGAACAGCTCCAGTGTGCAGCTCCCAGCAATATCAACACAGAAGGCAGGTGATTTCCACATTTCCAACTGAGGTACGTGGTTCATCTCATTGGGGCTGGTTGAACACTGGGAGCAGCCCAAGGAGGGCGAGCCGAAGCAGGGTGGGGCATCACCTCACGTGGGAAGCGCAAGGGGCCGGGGAACTCCCTCTCCTAGCCAAGGGAAGCCATTAGGGACTATTTCCTGAACTCCCACCCAGATAATGTGCTTTTCCCATGGTTTTCAAAACCGCAGACCAGGAGATTGTCTCTGGTACCTACATAACCACAGGAGCCCTGGGTTTCCAGCACAAAACTGGGTGGCCATTTGGGCAGAAACTGAGCTAGCTGCAGTTTTTTTTTTTTCTTTTCATACCTCAGTGGTGCCTGCAATGCCAGTGAGACAGAGCCATTCACTCCCCTGGAAAGGGGGCTAAAGCCAGGGAGCCAAGTGGTCTTGCTCAGCAGGTCCCACCCCCACAGAGACCAGCAAGCTAAGATCCACTGGCTTGAAATTCTTGCAGCCAGCACAGTGATCTGAGCTCAACCTGGGTTATTTGAGCTTGGTGGGAGGAGGGGTGTCCACCATTGCTGAGGCTCGAGTAGGTGGTTTCAACCCCACAGTGTAAGCAAAGCTGCTGGGAAATCCGAACTGGGTAGAGCCTGACACAGCTCAGCAGCTGCAGGCAGTGTCTCACTAGATGTCCTTGCTGGGCAGAGCATCTTTGAAAAAAGGCAGCAGCCCATCACAGACTTATAAAGCCCCCACCTTCCTGGGACAGAACACCTGTGAAAAGGGGATGGTAGTGGGTACAGCTTCAGGAGACCTAAACATCCCTGACTGGCAGCTCTGAAGAGAGCAGTGGATTTCCCAACAGTGTTCGAACTCTGCCAAGGGACAGACCACCTCCTCAAGTGACTCCCTGACCCCTGTGTATCCTGACTGGGAACACCTCCCAGTAGGGGCCAACAGACACCTCATACAGTAGAGATCTGGTTGGCATGTGGCAGCTAACCCTCTGGGACGAAGCTACCAGAAGAAGGAACAGGCAGCAATCTTTGCTGTTCTGCAGTCTCTGCTGGTGATTCACATGCAATTAGGGCCTCCAGCAAACTCCAGCAGACCTGCAGCAAAGAAGCCTGACTGTTAGAAGGAAAACTAACAAAACAGAAAGAAACAGTTTCAATATCAACAAAAAGGTGTCCACTCAGAGACCCTAAAGGTCACCAACCTCAAAGACCAAAGAAAGATAAATCCATGAACCTGGGAAGAAACCAGCACAAAAAGGCTGAAAACTCCAAAAAACAGAATGCCTCTTCTTTAAGAGATCACAGCTCCTTCAGCAAGGGAGCAAAACTGGATGAAGAATGAGTTTGACGAATTGATAGAAGCAGGCTTCAGAAGGTGGGTAATAACAAACTTCTCCAAGCTAAAGGAGCATGTTCTAACCCAATGCAAAGAAACTAAGAACCTTGAAAAAATGTTAGACGAAATGCTAACTAGAAGGACCAGTTTAGAGAAGAACATAAACAACCTTATGGAGCTTAAAAACAGCACGAGAACTTCATGAAGCATACACAAGTTTCAATAGCTGAATTGATCAAACGGAAGAAAGGATATCAGAGACTGAAGATCAATTCAATGAAATAAAGCGAGAAGACAAGATTAGAGAAAAAAGAGTGAAAAGAAATGAACAAAGCCCCCAAAAAATATGGGATTACATGAAAAGACCAAATCTACCTTTGATTGGTATACCTGAAAGTGACGGGGAGAATGAAACCAAGTTGGAAAACACTCTTCAGTATATTATCCAGGAGAAGTTCCCCAACCTAGGAAGGTAGCCCAACATTCAAATTCAGGAAATACAGAGAACACCATTAAGATATTCCTTGAGAATAGCAACCCCAAGAAACATAATTGTCAGATTCGCCAGGGTTGAAATGAATGAAAAAATGCTAAGGGCAGCCAGAAGAAAGGTTGGGTTACCTACAAAGGGAAGCCCAGCAGACTAACAGCAGATCTCTCAGCAGAAACCTTAAAGCCAGAAGAGTGTGGGGGCCAATATTCAACGTTCTTAAAGAAAAGAATTTTCAACCCAGAATTTCATATCCAGCCAAACTAAGCTTCATAAGTGAGGGAGAAATAAAATCCTTTATGGACAAGCAACTGCTGAGAGATTTTGTCACCACCAGGCCTGCCCTATAAAAGCTCCTGAAGGGAGCACTAAACATAGAAAGGAACAACCAGTACCATCCACTGCAAAAACACACCAAATTGTAAAGACCATCGACCCTAGAAAGAAACTGCAGCAACTAATGGGCAAAATAACCAGCTAGAATCATAATGGCAGGATCAAATTGACACATAACAATATTAACCTTAAATGTAAATGGGCTAAATGCCTCCATAAGACACAGATAGGCAAATTGGATAAAGAGTCAAGACCCATTGGTGTGCTGTATTCAGGTGACCCATCTCATGTGCAGACACACATAGGCTCAGAATAAAGGGATGAAGATTTACCAAGCAAATGGAA